ATATTGATTCTGTATTCTCTGTGTGAAAGTTTTTCTGTAGGGATTTGCTCTCAGTGGAGTGCCAGCTATTAGTCTAGCAGCTGTGACAGATTCCAGGGAGCATCTATCTTTTCTGGCCACGAGTCCCTCTGACAGTTGCCTGGATTCGCAAGACAGCTAACCAGCCCTAGAAGGGCAATTTGTTCTGAAAAGGAAAACCTAGATTGACCTGTTTAGACTGGAAGCACAGCAGGGAGCATAGCTTTGGTAGGCGGCACTCTAGCTAGAACTGCCCAACTACCATGGGAACTAGTCCTCTACACTCTGTAAGATCTGAAATATATATATAAACATATATAAATATATATATATTCCATTTATGGTATGTTTATGTCATGCCCCACAAACAAATGCATTCACATAAATCTTCATTTTCCTTTCAGCTTATTTTCTTACATTGATATTAGTAATTCATGTTGCATAAAATCCACTGATTTAATTTCTTATGCTCAAAGAAACCCCTTATCTATGTCTTTCTCTGCCTCCCCCCACAACCCTCCGGAAGGTCTAAGTGCCCTTCAGTTCCTGTTATTTTATTGTGAAATGTTTCAGATTCCTTCATCAAGGACTTTTAACTGACATATTCTAGTCTCATTCACACATGTATGATTTACCCAAGTTTTTTCTTTCAAATCTCCAATTTTTGTTTGTGCTGTTCTATGTTTGTTTTCTTTAGTTTTCCATTGAAAACAGGTTTTGAGCAGGGTGTAGTGGCACACGCCTTTAATCCTAGCACTTGGGATGATGCAGAGGCCTGGGATCTTTGTGAGTTCCAGGACAGCCAGAACTATATAGTGAGACCCTGTCTTAAAAAAAGAAAGCTTTGAAATGTACTTATATCACATATAGATATAAAGTGAAACCCCAAACGGTGTCTTTTCTTTGGGGTAGCTTCAGCCTGAAGGGCTCTCAGCAGTCAGTCTCTAGGAAGTCTGATTGCGGCTGTCACTCTTGGGCCTCACCACACGGTCCTGTTTGTGTCTTTCAGAATGCAGCTCTTCAGCATCTGTTTATCCGGAAGTCCTTCCGGCCTTTTAAATGTCTGCAGTGTGGGAAAGCCTTCCGGGAAAAGGACAAACTGGACCAACACTTGCGCTTCCATGGGCGGGAGGGGAACTGCCCGTTGACCTGTGATCTCTGTAACAAGGGCTTCATCAGCAGCGCCTCCTTGGAGAGCCACATGAAGCTCCATTCTGACCAGAAGACTTACTCTTGCATTTTTTGCCCAGAATCCTTTGACCGCCTTGATTTGTTGAAAGATCATGTGGCCATTCATATCAATGATGGCTACTTCACCTGCCCAACCTGTAAGAAACGGTTCCCAGATTTTATCCAGGTGAGTGTGTGCGCCTGAGATTCCTGTCTGCTTCCAATTTTTTGTAAAAGAAACTTCAATTTTTTGGAAAACCGAGACCATTCAGCACCTATATTTTCATCTTTTTTTTTTTTTAATTTGTGAAGTATCTCTGCAATAGTTTTCAAACTGCTTTTCACATACAGAGTATTTTTTTTCCTTGGCTCTCAGGAACAGTGTTGTTTAAATTCTTAAGTTATGTTTATAGTAATAAACATGAGCTCTGGGCTGGCAAGGGGGTAAAGCTGCTTACATATCAAGCCCAACGATCCGAGTTCAATCCCTGGAGCCCACATGAGAACCTGAAATTACTTGGCGTGAGTGAGAAGGAAACATAGAACATGCAGCAAACTTGCTTAGGAGTTTATTAGGGGGGCGTATACAGATCTAGTGAGGTGGGTCGCTATGCAGAGAGAGAGCTGAAGATGGCTCGTCCAACTTTTAAAGGCATGCGCAGAGGGACATGCGTACATATGCAGATGACGGAGCTCACAGACGTGCACAAGGGCTCACACAGCTGCGTCATATGTAGATGTTGCAACCAAGATGCACATGTGGGATCCTTTAAGATCCCCGGGGCCATTAGGCACTTCTGCCTGAGTTTTTGTCCGCACATGCGTGGCCCTAGAACCTGGAAGTGTCAGCCATGCTGTGGCCGAATCCTAACAGAACTTCCCCTGCAAATTGTCCTCTGATATCCAGATGTTCATCGTAGTGCACATGCACTAAAGATAAATGTAAGAAAAAAATCTTGGAAACACCAAATCTGGTTATTATTTTTAAAAAGTCTTAAGAATCTTTGTCAAATATCCATTACTCATTAAACAACATAGAATCTTTAGAACCTATTTCTTTATATCTGGATGGGAAGCATCTCTCTACCATTCTGGTTTTCTGTTTTACTTTACTAAGGTTATATATCTTGAAAAGAAACAAAGAGAGTTGGCATATAAGATGCTGTCATGTCAAGCACTATCTTTTCTGTAGTACTGGGGCAAAATTTAATTTTGAGTAAAAATATTTTTATATTCAGTAAATAATTAAATCATAATATCTCATAAAATATTCTTTAGAAATTACAAAAGCAAAAGAACTGTGATTTAATCATAGATCTTTGTTGTTGTTGTTTTTTGTTTGTTTGTTTGTTTGTTTGTTTTTTCAAGACAAGGTTTCTCTGTAGCTTCGGTGGTGCCTGTCCTTGCCTGTCCTGGAACTAGCTCTGAAGACTGGGCTGGCCTTGAACTCAGAGAGACCCACCTGCCTCTGCCTCCCAAGTGCTGGGATTAAAGGCCTGCGCCACCAACCAACCACCTGGCTTAATAGTGTTTCCTCTAACAATGAGAGGCTTGAGAAGATTTTCTCCACACAGTTAGAAAGTTGTTGAGGCATAATGCAATGGATAACTCTGATGTTGGGGAAGCCAAGTGCTTTAAAAAAACAGTTCAGTAGATTTTCTACTAAACTGTCTATAGCTTACTTACCGTCACCCCCACCCCCACCCACACAGTGCTGGCTCTTGGATTCAAAGCATCCTCCATGTTAAGCACACATTACACTATTGAACCGTATCCCTTCCCAAAGCCTTTTCATGCATTATTTATAGCTGAGAGAGTTCAGAACCTGAGTTCTTCTCTACCCTCCACCCCAACTGAAGTCCTGGAGTTGAATCCAGGGTAAAACTGTCCGATTAGCTGAAAGCGAAGTGTCTATGGCCCAGCCGAGGAGGAAGGAAATCAGTCCATTTAATGAACAAGTAGTATTGCCAATGTATCTGATCCCTGTCTTTCATTCTTTAGAACCTCACTCGTTTCTTCAGTGCTGAGACCAAACCTAGGGCCTCGAGGCTGCAGGCAACTGTGTTATACAGAGCTGTATCCCAGACCTGATTTTATAGGAAGACATGAAAGGGTCAGCTCTTAATGATGCAGAATTACTTCTACATATGTAGAAACAAAAATGAGGACAAATGGCTTTCATTTTCTTTTAGGTAATATTTAGCAAGATTCATTAAAATCCAAAGCAACCTTACATTTTAGCCTTCTTAAAAAGGAAAGAAAATTGTACAAGAGATTGAGGCGGTGCTCTTTCTCCCTATGAGTTACCTGGAGGTTCAGATTTCTAGGACTCTGGCCTGTGCTGTTTCTTTGTGACAAGCACAGCCAGTGTTACTGAATGCAGTCATCCCTTGATGATAACCAGGCTCCTCAAAGTCCTCAGTGGTGTGTTGGTGCCCTCTAGCGTCATAGCCACCTCTGGTTCTTTCTTTTGGCCTGAGCGTCCCCCGGTCTTTACTGCCAGGTGAAAAAGCACGTGCGCAGCTTCCACTCTGAAAAGATCTACCAGTGTACCGAGTGTGACAAGGCCTTCTGTCGCCCTGATAAGCTGAGACTGCACATGCTCCGGCATTCCGACCGCAAGGACTTCCTGTGTTCCACCTGTGGGAAGCAATTTAAGGTAGGATGCCAACCTGTAGCCAGAGGAAACTGTCCAGCCTAGGATTAAGTCAGGCTAAGGACAGACACCTGCTTGTTTCATGGCTTTGTGCACATGCTCTAAGTAATGGATAGAAGAACTAGATTGTTATTGACGGAGGCCTAAGAGACCAGTTTATTTATATACTAATTAAATCAAGAGGTTGCTGTTGTTGTTGTTGTTGACTGTTTATCAGATGAGAACCTGCAGGTAAGTCACCTAAGCAAGATCTTCTTCGGCAGAGATGGGAAACATAAAGATGTCTGAGGGGACGGAGCAGAGGGATTAGACTGCTCTGGAGAATGCAGTGATTTCAAGGACTCAATAAGACGTAAGTAGTTTGGCATGGAATCGCAGACTTGAGGAGGCAGAGGCAAAAAGAGCTTGAATTTTTGGCTAGCCTAAGCTATATAGTAAATGGCAAACCAGTTTGTGCTACATAGTGAACACAAAAGAAAACAAAATGAAACCCAAACCAGTAATCTGCCTAGAATTAAGAAGAAACGAAGGGGAAGTCTGCAGGAAACTTGGAGGTATTTGTTGTTGGGAGGCATTGCTAAACATGGCTAGGCTAACTTGTTATAGCTGCTGGGAAGAGGGCCAGTTAGATTGTTCAGTGGGTAAAGGTACTTGCCACACGAACCTGAGAATCTGAGTTCCGTATTTGAATCCCACAGTAGAAGGGAGAACCTACCCCTAAAAGTTGTCCTTTGCCCTTCAAGTGTGCTTGTGGTACTTGAATGTCCTTGCCACACTAATGATCAATAAAATTAATTAAGTTGAAAGAAACTGGAGATTATTGGGAGGGGAAAAGTAAGAGGTATGTTCATATGGAATGTGAACATTGAAGAGAAAAAGCTTAAGCTTTGTGGTACATTCTTTATAGATCAATTATGGAATTTATTTTGATGGCTTACAGTATATCATCATGTTTGAAATGGCTGAAGAATTCCACTATGAGCTATGTATGGAGGCATCTACCTGAAATCTCAGTACTTGGGAGGCTGATACAGGGGAATTGCCATGAGGTTGAGGTCAGCTTAGACTATGTAGCAAATTAAGGACCAGCCTGGGTATACAGTAGGAGACCCTGTCTCAAAAAGCTCCTGGGCATGCAGCCTACCTTTAAGATGGTTTGTTTATCTGGCAGGGGAGATACCATGATCACGAAGATGGCTTTCCCAGGGCGAAGCTTATCCATTGCACTGCAGATGAGCTGACCCCTGTGATTTCCCCAAATGCAGCAAACTTGACTGCAGAATTTGTAGTAATGGGGGATTGTGTTCATGCTCTCCCATTGAGTAAAGTAAAAAATAAATAAATAAATAAATAGATAGATAAATAAAAAAGAATAGTTTACTTACCCAGTGAGACTCCCTCGAAGAAAGTGTAATTTTTTATTTGCAAGTGGTTATCAATTGAAGTTAGCTTCTAGCTTAGGGATGGGGCATGTGTCCACTTCTTTTTTCAGCTCTAGGACCCCATCTGATGCAGACCCATGCAAGCCCTGTATGTGCTGCCTCAGTCTCTGTGAGTTCAAATGTGCATCAATCCTGTTGACTTAGAGGGCATCATTTCCTATGCCTTTAGTGCCTCCTCTTCTGCACACAAGGTTTCTTGAGCCCTAAGAGGAGGGATTTGATGGAGACACCCTGTTTAGGCCTGAGTGTTCCAAGGCCTCTTATTCTCTGTATAATGTCTGACTATGGGTCTCTATGCTTGTTCCCATCTTCTGCAGGAGGCAGCTTCTCTGATGATGTCAGCCATCATCTTCATGGTACTCATCTATGAGGATAGCAGAATATCATTTATTGCTTTTTTTTTTGAACAGTAGTATTTGGTTTTACCCTAGGTCCCTGGACTATCTAGTGTCAAGTTCTTGGTCACTCAAGTAGTATCAAGTATGGGCTCGATCTCATTTGGAGTGGGCCTTAAGTCAAATCAGATATTGTTTGATTACTCACACAAATATTGTGCTACCATTACACAAGCACATTTTTCAGGCAGGACATCATTGTAGACAAAGGGTTTGTGACTGGGTTGGTGTTTATATTTTCTTTTGATAGTGTGCAGAGAACCTTCCTGTACCAAAGGCACATAGGCATGTAGGGGTGAAGGCTCTTTATAGGCACCAGCTCGGCTTCACTGTGTTTGAGGAGTTGTATAGGTGTTGTCTTCAGCAATGGGGCCTTGTCAGTTTGTAGAGAGCAACCTATAGTCTTAGCAACAGCCTGGGTTGTTGGAGATTCTCATGGGACCCCTTTGGCCAACAAGTCAATTAGATGTAACCTAATTCTGATACTGGAAACTTTATTTGATAACAAAATGTCTAGTTGGGGCTCTGTTTCCCTTGTTATTTGGCGATTTCATTTAGATCTTCATATATATACATATGTATATATATGTGTGTATGTATGTAAGCGGAGACTACTCTTTCATTTCCCAGTTGCCCTGACCCAAATAATTACACAGAAACTATATCATTAACACTCTTTGGCCAATACTTAGGCATATTTTTAGCTAACTCTTTTTTTTTGTTTGTTTTTCGAGACAGGGTTTCTCTGTAGCTTTGGAGCTGGTCCTGGAACTAGCTCACGTAGACCAGGCTGGTCTCGAACTCACAGAGATCTGCCTGCCTCTGTATCCTGAGTGCTGGGATTAAAGGCATGCGCCACCACCCGGCTTTTAGCTAATTCTTATATTTTAAATTAACCAATTTCTATTAATCTATTGCCATGAGGGTGTGGCTTACCGGTAAAGGTTCTGGCTGGCAGCTGCATGGCATCTTGCTGACTCCACCTACTTTCTCTCTATATCTCTGTTCAGATTTCCCACCTGGCTTTACTCTACTAAGCTATTGGCCAAACAGCTTCTTTAATAACCAATGGTAATAAGACATATTCATAGCATACAGAGGGGAATTCCACATCATATGTATATATTTTACAAAGCTTCTACTATATTAGGTTTTCATGCTATACCACTAATGACCCTTAATTTTATGTCTCTCCACATATTCCCTCCCCTAACCCTCTCTCCCCTCCCCTCTCACTTGATCTTCTCATTCCAGTCCCCCTTCTATCCATAACTATCTATTAGTTTTATTTATCTTAGCCATTCTGATGGATATAAGATGAAATCTCAAAGTAGTTTTGATTTGTATATCCCTGACAACTAAGGATGTTGAATATTTCTTTAAGTGTTTCTCAGCTAGTTCCTCTTTTGAGAATTTTCTGTTTGAATTTGTACCCCATTTTTAAATTGGGTTGTTTTCTTGATATCTAGCTTTTTGAGTTCTTTATATATTTTGGATATTAGCCTTTTTTCAGAAGTAGAGTTGGTAAAATCTTTTCCTACTGTGTAGGCTGCCCCTTTGTCCAGATGATGGTGTCCATTGCCATACAGAAGCTTTTCAGATCCACGAGGTTCTATTTTCAGTTATTGTTCTTAGTGCCTATGCTATTGGTGTTCTGTTCAGAAAGTCTTTTCCTGTGTCAATGAGTTCAAGGCTATTCCCCACTTCCTCTTCTGTCAGGTTCAGTGTATCTGATTTTATGTCAAAGTCTTTGATCCATTTGGAGTTGAGTTTCATGCAGGGTATAAGTATGGATCTATTTGAATTTTTCTTTATGCATCCTGTCCGGAACCTTGAGTACCAACCCCTCAGGGCTCAGAATAGGATGTCTAGGGCAAGTGAAGATCTGAAGGTAAAAAAAAATAACTCAGTACTTTATGGCTACATATTCTTTATTCCTTTGCACAAAGAAGCATCAAGAAGAAGAAAGAAGGAGAAGGGGTGATGTCCACGAGGTTTCTAATTTTTGCAGACATAGTTGAAAATTCCATAGGTAAAGACTATAATAGTGTGTATATCAAAATCATAAGAGAGCAGGTAGAACTTGACAAAGCAGTATTCTGGAACAGGTGACACTACCCAGGAAAGAGCCAGTGTCCAAGGGGGAAACACCTGACATTCCAAACCATTAGATAAAGTTACTAAATGTTTCTGAATCCTGGACTCACCTATTCTCCTCACCAATCTCTTTTGTGATGTCCATCTTTGGGGACATCCAAATTTGTTTGTTATCAATGGTGTCTTCTTTAGAAAATTCTATGTGGTCTGTTAGCAGGTAATTTTGTGGAACTGACTCTATGTAAATCTGACTGTTAGAACAAAGAGTGAGTGTTATTGCTCTTGGTGTGGAGGAATGGAAAGGTCATTCCATTGCCTGTGCGGAAATTACATTGCTGAGATGTTTTGGATTCTCACTTTGATGAAAATGATTTTTAGTTGTAGAAGCTTCCCAGTAGGATTTTTAGTGTCATTTATGCATTCTATCATATCATCTGTAAATAAAGATACTTTGACTTCTTCTTTTCCAATTTGTATCCCCTTGATCTCTCCCCTTCAGTTGCATCTGGGTTCAGGAAGATTGTTGGTGGAGGCTGTTTGTTTGTTTCCTGACTGCCCAGACCCAAAATAATAACACTGAAAGTATATTAATTACAATACTGCTTGGCCAATGACTCTAGCCAGCTCTTATATCTTAAATTAACTCATTTTTATCCATCTGTGTATCGCCACGTGGTTGTGGCCTACTGGTAAGATTCTGTCCTGCATCTGGCGTCTGGCTCCTGTGGCAGCTACATGGCTTCTGTTTGACTCCACCCACTCTGTCCTCCTCTATCTGCTTGGAATTTCTTCCTTGCCCTATTCTGTGCTTGAGTAGGCCCAAAGTAGCTTTTTTATTAACCAATGGCATTCACAGCATACAGAGGAGAACTGCCATACATTTTGCAGGACACAGAAGAAAGTAACTGATGAACTTTGCCTGTACAAGGTATAAGAGATCTTCAAATTTCCTGCTTCATGGAACGGTCTGTCAGAATCTATGGGCCTGTTGGCCGAAGATGAATGCCCCAACATTACAGAAGAACTTTGGGTAGCTGTTCAGGCAGCAAGCTGTCTGTGCCAATTTTAGAGTTTTGGAAGTTGCTTATAATGCACTTCCTGTTTACTTAGGTAATATTAAATCCTTCTGAAGTCTTTGATGGAGTTGAATAATAGATAGTTACAGTTATAGTTTTCCTTAGTTATGATAAAAGATAAAGTAGATATAAATATTGTAACTATAATTCTTGCTTGGTAACTGGTTTGTTGTATGTAATCTTGTTATATTAAAGTTAAAACCTTTTTATTTTGACAGAAAGGGGGGGGTGATGTGGGATTCCCCTCAGTATGCTGTGAAAGCCATTGGTTAATAAAGAAGCTGCTTTGGGCCTACTGTAGCACAGAATAGAGCAAGGCAGGAATTCCAAGCAGCCAGAGGAGGAGAGAGTAGGTAGAAGCAGGGAGAAGTCATGTAGCCTCCACAGGAGACAGACACCAGATGCCAGACAGAACCTTACTGGTAGGCTACAACCACGTGGTGATACACAGATTAATAGAAATGAGTTAATTTAAGATATAAGAGCTAACTAGCAATATGCTTTGAGTCATTGATCAAGCAGTGTTGCAATTAATATAGTTTCAGTGTGACTATTTTGGGTCTGGGCGACCGGGAAACAAACGAGCAGCCTCTGATTACAGAAGATTGTAATTCTAAGTGCTGGTATCTGCTCTTGCCTTTGTTGGGAGGGTGTTTCTAGATATTGGGGACTGACATTTAGGAATAAGATGGGCAAGAAGTTGGAGCTGAGGGGGCCACAGGTGGGAGGAAAGCAGGGTGTTCTACCAGGATCTGCTTAGTTCCCTGGGAATGAGGGCAGAGAATGTGGAGGGTACAGCAGGTGGTCTGCTACAGATCTGAGGCTGAGACTGGGGAATTGGTGTGGAAAAGACAGGGAGAGTGAAGATATGAAGCTCGCCCACCTGCTTTGCTGGTCTGCTCTGGCAGGCTTAGTTGGTGGTTTCCTGGAGAATTCCTGCTGGAATTAGGGGCTGGGATAATGGCATAAGTCTGGGTGAGGGGAGGGAACTTTGCAGGGGAAGATATGTGTGATTCACTGGAGATGGGGACAGAGAGGAAGAGGATGTTGAAGTAGGTGGCCTGCTACAGAGCTGAGGATAAGATTGGGGATTGGATTTCAGGTTATCTGCAGTTAGCCTACCTACTTTCCTGACTGGTGTGGCTGATGGGTTTCCCAGGAATCAGTGTTGATTTTTTTTTAATTACCCTTCAATTAAAATTTTTCTATCCTTGCTCCTACACTGTTTTAACAAAATTTCTCCAAATAGCGAAAAGACAAACTCCGGGAGCACATGCAAAGGATGCATAACCCTGAAAGGGAGGCCAAGA